AAACGGCAGACACATAACTACGCCATGATGGACTGAATACGTACGGTAAATACCTACGCCGAAAAGCATTCCGCAAACTCAGTTTCGCAGGAGCCGTTCCGCCAAAGGCCCAAACTCGAGGAGAAAGTTATGGGAGCGCCCGTGGCCTGGAGGTGGCGCAATGCATCGAACTCGCATCGAATGGCGATCCATTAGGGTGGGAGTTTCCCTGGGGAGGGAGGGAGGGTGCTCCTGGAGGGTGGGACGGTGGTTTCAGGACGGGAGGCACCACTATTCATGATATGGTCCAGTTGATGACTGTGAATCTATGTTTGCAATTGCAAATATTGCCTAAGTATTAGCATTTAGCACAATATAACGCATCAATTTATGCATGAGGAGACATCAGGCAAAACTTTTACAAAATCGTTTGAAAAAGATACGCCGTGTCTGAGGCCCTTATCCAGACGCTTTGATGAGCCGCCCCGAGTCATCCATTATGCAAGATGGATAAACAAAGACATCAACCGCGCCGGGCTTTAAGAAGATTAATGATGATCTGTAATGATGATGATCATCTTGGTGGCAGGCCCGCTGTAATTTTTCTCATCGCCGAGGAGATACACTCCACTCAATGAAACGGGTGTGTCATAATCTGAAACTAGGCAAAACTTTGATATGAAATATCACCCAAAACAAGTTTTGCATGCTTAAATCGAACTAGAAAAGGCCAAATGGGGAAAACCACAGACCACAAGACTCGACGTATTTCACATTTGACGGAGGCAGTCTTTGTCACAGTGGTTCCGTTGAAACGCTGTCACGAAGTCAGCCACTAATGACTGAGGACCAAGGAGGCTGTCGGCAGCTGCCAGTTCGGATATCTCACTACTTGTCACTGCTGTCAGCACCTGTCAGCTCACATACCCCCGACATGTCACCGCTAGACAGCTGTCCATGACTGCCTGTCACTAACAGTCAGCGGTGAAAACTGCAGAGCAGTCTGTCATGTCAGATGTGAAATGACAACCACGCCAACCAGCCAACTCATGAGACAAGCCACTCGCCACTCGCTACCCGCCATCCCAGCAAAGCTTGGTTCAGCTCAGCCAAGTCAAACAATCGCCACCTTTGCCGAGTTCGATCCGCCTCAATCCAACCGAGCTCAGCTCAGCGAGCCAATTCCGCTCCGCTCAGCTCAGCTCAGCTCAGCTCAGAGGCTCTGAGCTGTCAGCCGGTCCGTATCGCCTCCGGCTCAGTCTTCCTCTCCTCTCCTCTCCTCTCACAGAGGCCGTTTGAAGTGCCGCTGAGCCGGGCGGGCGCGCTTTGAAGTCGCTCGCCCGAGGAATATCGCATCAGTCAGGTACCGTGTAAAAACCCGGCTCGGGGCTCCGCACCGGCCGGCGGCGCACCGACCGCGACACATACCAGCGCCGTGTATCGGTGTCGCCCCCGACCGTCACAGAGCGCCCGCGGACACGGGTAGGTCGGTGGAAGGAGTAGGATGAGACGGTGACGCACCGAGCATCGACAGAAGCCGCTGTAGTTGACAAAACTGGAGCGTTCTCGCTGGAATGGAGCTGGCGAAGACCCGCTTGAATTCATCCAGAAAGGGGCATGTTTATCCACGCTATTCTCCGACGAAGACACCATGCCAAATACGATAGTTATCATCTGGAACAAACCATCATCACTGTCCGATTCTCCGTCACCAAGGCAAGCCACAGGACTAAGACTAACTTCCCAGGACTGTCTCACCCGGTCACTTTTCGTCTGATCTCACCGCACCACCATAGCGGTCCGTCTCGGTGCCCATTAATTCCATTAGCGCCATTAGGAGCTCCTCTCCTACCTCTGCCGGGATCCGTTCCCAGCCGTTACCGTTGTAGTGAGAGGCACGACAAGCTTACGGCGATATCCAGCGAGAGCCACGGCTCGCTTCGGGAGCCTCCAGCCGGAGTTCGCACGGCGCGGTGCCAGTAGCCGCCGGCCGGAGCACCCGCTAATTACGTAACGGCCTGTTGTTTTAGCGCACACCCGTCGCGTAATTGTCAGAAGCCTCGCATGCTCCTCCACGCCGACATTAGACAATTAGTGTAAACATATTGGCACCAGCTTATGAGACGCGAGGAGGCGAGTGCCGACCGACCACCCCTAGTGGACAAACCGGGAACTAGAGCTTCGACGTTTGTCCGCTAGGTGGTGCAGAGGTTGGGTTTGCGACCACGCCACGCCGCCATACGCTGGAGGTCACACTCCCGAAGTTGATCACACCTGTCATCCAAGCATCCCACGGCCACGGCCAGCTGTCCATCGACGACCTAAACGGTAAGTCACTTTATGTTATCCTGAGAGCCTCAACATCGAGCCACTCTTCCGCAAGCGAAGTTGACCACCTGTCCTCATCAAACCACTGGCGTTGAAATCTCACCATAGCAAACATTTGAAATCACTAAATATCACAGTCCATCCAATTGAAAAACATATTCCCTTTAAATAGTGCGGATCACGCTAGAAAGTTCACAATATGGTACTTACATCCACCGCTCACGGCTCGTGAAATCCCCGCCGCACCGTCACAATCCCTCAACCACCGTGATATTCGCATCACGGGACGATTCACGACACAAACCGACACTGGCCAGCCTCTCTTCCAAGCCATCTCCAGCACTAGCACAGTGCGCGGAGCGCCTGGAAACTTGACTTTTCCTCGCGAACAACGGCGGCCGACTGGTCTCCTCCCAAAGGCCGCAGCTCCGTCTATTGTCCCCCAATACCATTTCCTTTTTTCCTGTCTCATCTCCTATTATATTCCAAACACAAGACTATATCCCCCATTATGCTGTATTCAATACAGGACAAAGCGGCGCGCGGCGGCGCCGGCGGGCGCGGAGCGGCGTCAATGGAGCCCGCGCCGCGCGGCGGCCGCCCCCTCTGGCGGCCGAGCCATTAATTCCGACACCGGCAGCGGCCCGAGCCGGACGGCCGGGACGGGTCGGACGGACACCGGGAGAATGGTGGGGACTGGAGGACAGGGATGGAGGGTACTGGATGACAAGGGATGGAGGGTATTAGAGGACAGGGAATGGAGGGCATGAACTGAGGGCAGGGAATGGAGGGCAGGAGAGGGACTGGAAGACATGAAGAGAGGATGGGGACTGGAGGACTGCAACTAGAGGAAAGTTGAGAACAAGGACTGAAAGACAGAGACTGTCGGACACGGCTGAGGGGAGATGGACAGGATAGGCAAGTATGAGGCTAGTGACGACATCAAGCTAGAGCGCGAGTTTTGAATAGATGACGATGAGCGGTGGACAACAGACGGTGAACAAAGGACGGAGACGGGCACCGGGGGCGGGCCGTGACCGAGGACAATGGACAGAGGAGCGGCGCCAGAGAGAGTGAGGGAGGAGGGGAGGTGATGAGAGGCAGGTGACGGGAGAGGACAGAGGACAGGAGATGGGGAGGGAAAGAGCGCGGGAGCAGGAAACGAAGAAATAGCTGCTGGTAGGGTGAGGAGAAACGGAAGGGCGATAAGAGGGAAAGATGGAGAGAAGGAGGCAGAGGAAGATAAAAAACGAGAAAGAAAACGGGAAAGACTATGACTAATGTAATGCCACATTTACATAGTTCGGTTTATTAAAACCAATATTTTCCTAATGCCACCAGCCTTGAGATCGAGCAATAAAACATGATCTTGAGATTCGTTTCCCCAGTAAACTTTGTTTTAATCTTCCTGTCAACCCCAGCTTTCGTGACCTCAGGAGGTTGATAAGCTCACGAACAGTTTCTAAATTTATACGAATAGCGGACAGTCGCGACGAACAAGATTTGGCAGCCAGTACAGAGTTTCCTTCAGTGATTTGATAACGCCACAAAAGTTTACATACACTACCAAGACCAGCGTTTGCCATGGTTTCCTTACTAAGCGATATGCTATCACCCAATGTGTTTGGCGAGGAAGCGAAACATCACCCACAGAAATTGACAGCGGATGTGGTTGAGAGCGAACAGCCAGCACCAAAGTATGTCAACGTCGTCACACCAATATTTCTAGTCTGTGCCAGGACTGCGGAGTCGATGGATTTTCGATGACTCCGACTCAGACTCCGGCTTTCAAAAACCAGCTCCGACTCCGACTCCGGGCATAACTGTCGACTCCGACCGACTCCAACTCCAACTCCGCAGACTTTGCAGGACTGCGGACTCCATGGGTTTTCGGGGACTCCGACTCCGACTCCTGTCAGAACTGTTGCCTCCGACCGACTCCGACTCCGACTCAGCCTAGTCAACCCTGGTCTGTGCAACCTGGTCAGACTAAGCTTCAGCGGTATGTTCCTGTACCAGCTAGTGCAGATTAATGCATTGCTCAGGGAGCGATTCCACGCCCATCGCAGTAGCCAGCCATTCAAGTTGACAATGCAACGGATGACAAACCAACATTGGAACGATGGACAACGACAAGCCCGAGTTTTGTTCTCACAAGTGCCCTATCAGTAGTTTGATGAGCAAGCACTGGCGCGGAAGACAGGTGTGGGCTAGAAGGAAGCATTCGCTCGATACTTGAAATAGCTACTCGCAAGCGAAACTGTTCTAGTCAGACGACTTTCTTCCATTAACTTCTGACACGCTCAACAAAACAGTGGAGGAAACAGTCTGCGTACATGCTGCGGTAAAATTGTTTTGCGCATCACATTCCAAGCGGAGTGATGTGACAAAGTGAGAGCGTACTTGACGAGTTTTACGGTATAATTTCCAATTTATCGATAGATTACGGTTTTTCATGTCTCAGTGGTCTCCACATACATTGAATAATAGATAACAGAATATAAGCCAATAGCTTAAATAAACAGTTATATGTTCATCTGGCAGATGGTTTAATTGATTCTTCATTCTCATTACGTCCTAGGTACCTGCTGGAAGTTTCATCATTCTGCTTACCAGAAAACATACAGATCAATTCTGTATCATCATTGTTTGCTGGCTGAGTGTACCCATTGCCCATGTTACAAGAACAGTACCTGAACGGATACTGCTGTACAAAGCAGTAGGCAGTGGCGGCCGTCACAGCAAACAGCTCCATCAGTACGCCATAGATGCTGATGCCCTCAGCACTCTTGTTCATGAGGATCTTCAGCACCTGGGGGACTTTCACTGCAATAGGACAGAATCCCATCAAAGACTGAGAAAAATTATGCAATAAACAAACAAAAGAAGCCACTTACTAATAGATTCAAGGCTTACACATATCAAACTCTTTTAGAGGACCAGTTACCAGCCTTTCAACTTCTCAGCAGAATGACATATTAAAAGGCTCTGTCATTCACCAACACTTTTGGCAGCATATAATGCATGAATATTATAGAAAAAAGTGTGCTAATTGACAAAGCAAGTATGACAGCTCAAGTGTAACAGTCCATCAGCACCTAATCTACTTTAATGTGACATGCATAGAATAGAAAACTTACCCAGGGAAGATCCAGCAACTATTCCAAGCCCCAGTCCTTTGCTTAGTGTTGACTTCAGACATGGCACTGAGAACACAAAGACAAAAAGGTGAGGTGATGCATGACTTTCCCTAAGGATGAAGAATGTCCAAATCTCATATTTCAGTGAGAATCTTATTTGTTTTAGTATAAATACAGAAAATACGGAACTTCTGAAATTTCCCTGACATGACCAGATAAAACAAATGGAAGACACATTCCTAATTTTGTTAAAAAGTATAGCAGCCTTGGGCTTAATCTTTACCACATACCATGCATAAAGTTCATCTTGTTGAAAAATTCATCATAGCAGTCAGGAGTGGTAACTAGCAGTGCCAGTTTCTCGAACACCTCCTTAGCTTGATCCATGTTTGTAGGAGATAATCTGAAATATCATTGTTATATTTTCATTTACACATACAAATTGACATGGTGCACACTGCACAGCATATCAACTATAAATCATTGTCATGAGATACGGCCTTGATCTGGTTGATCATGAGGCCGAGGCACTGGCAGTCGCCAAGCTGAGTCGGTATTGGTTGCTAATAGGTAGGACAGACCTTAGGACAGACGTAGCACAAGTGGGCATATCAATACGCTGTGATGTGGATAAAGTGGCTAAAGGTTCGAAGCCCTACTTGCACTGATGCCTCGACTCTCGAGTCTGGATTCTGGATCTCAACCTTAATCTGGAAGCAGGGCTGCTTATCGATTCCGACAATTTCAGAGTCCTTATTCGTCAGTACTGAAATTATTGCTATTATGAAATAAAATTAAATATCAAGTCTCATTTTATGTAACACAACTTCAAGGCCACCGTTACCTTTCGATGTTGAACGACCGGTAAATACTTGAATTTATAAAAGTTTACAGTTTACGTGGCCGGCCTTACAGAAAATGGTGCGCCAGTCTAGAAACAGCTGCGCTAGACATGGCTCAAAAGCTTTTGGGAATCAACTAGTAAATAATCTTATTGCATCATTTGCGTCGATTCGAACCAATATAACCGATAATAATCCAAATGGAAAGACTAAAAATAGCGAACCAGAATATGATTTAATAAACCTTAAACAATTTCAAGGAATTATTATATATTGGCTTACTTCATCCTTCTTGCAAATCATGTCATATGCACTAGCGGCGAAGGCGACCTTTTACCACTGAAAATCGCAATTGTATTAGTAATCTTGCCTGATAAGACTACGGAAAACAGAAACTCGTCACCCATCAGCCGTTTGAAATAATTTATCTCGAATGTTAAATTGTAGTGACTCATTCATCAATCCTGACCAGTGACCACCCGTTTCAGACATAATTTAGCTGGAACACTGTGAACGGACAGATTTCCTAATTCCTAGGCAAGTCAGACCACGGTCAAAGAAGCATAAACCCACGCTTAGCATAGCCGGATGTGCCAGCAATGAACTGAAAACCCCACTTTGAGCGTGGAAAGCAGCAACGGAACGGTCAACGGACCTATACAGTTTATTCTGCCCCAACGTTCTGGACAGAGGAATCATTTAGGTACCACAAACCGTTGGTATTAGCGTCCGTAAATGTCACATGCGGGCCGATGTCCCATGCACATGGCGTTACAAACATATAATACGTCTGTATATTAAAGTTAATATATTATATAAAAACCGACAAGTATCAGCAATACAGGGCGAGTATGGCACGAAGACAAAAACATTCACATGGTTTCCGGCGCTAGATTAGATTAATTTATCTCATCACTTAAGTAGAAGACTTCGACGCTAGCTGGAAGATAACACTCATCTCGCCAGTCCATTAATCCACTAAAACGGCTTCTTCGTAAGCATGTTAGCAGCACCACTCGCCACATATTCACAAAAGTTCGGCTGAGGAACTCCTCTGCAGTTGTGTTGACCGTTCTAACAAATCGATGGCGCGCGTGGGCGGACGCTTGTCAGGCAGCAGACACAAGGCACCGGCGTTCGCGGCACAAGGCTTCGGAAAACGGTAATTCTCCATTCATCGACGAAGTATTCACAGGGCACTGCTATTCGGAAGGCATGATCGGATCGGAGAGCTGTGCGACACAGCAGTCTGTATAAGACAGCAGCATCCCCGACGGCACGAAACACTAAGACTCGATTCGAGACTGAACGGATCGGGACGAATCTGGACGCCAATGTGAGATGATCAGCCTACTGAAATGTCTTTCAGTCACCGCTATAGCTGCTGCACTACCGCGTGGCGATCAGTCCAGCCGCTCGAGACCGCCGACACAGACTAGCCTGTACACTCAGCGCCGTACGCACGTTCACACAAACACAAACATACGTCGCGGGTCCATAGGGGAGGGTGGGGCGGGAGGAAAAAAATGAGGGGGCCGGGGCATTCGAATGGGCAACGCAAAACGCGGCTGTTTACTCTCAGATCTTCCGCCAAAGTTTCACACCATTCTCAGCTGTCTAAACTCAGCGCTCAAGAAAATAAGCCGCGTGCGACACTCGCGGCGGCACCTCCGCACTCTCATACGACGGTAAAGCTCGGCGCATCGCCACTCCGTCCACCCCTGGTGCTGTTGCCGAGGTAACCAGCGGCACAGACAGCACCAAATCGATTCACCACGCGGTGAGATGGTTGTAGGATGTGCTGGTGACTCTGTCACCCGTGTGTGATGATAGAGTTGTTTACTTTCCGCCGTACGCCGGGTTCTTGTAGGTGGACGTGGCCTGCTTGTAGATCGGGTTCTCGCCCTGCCAGTCACATAAAACAAGTGTTAGGTTAATCGTGACGGACACCGTTCCGTGCTTCTATCCTCAGGATGTTGAAATCCTTCTCCTCCACGCCGCAACTCCCCTCCGGGCTGGGCAGGCAACTTTATCTCATGCGGGCTGCTCCCTGGAGCGGCACACTGCTCCCGAGGGAGCGCACCCCGTAGCCGGGTGCAGGGAGTACCTTGGGGCTGGGTGGCCTGTCCTCTGGACGGGCTCAGCCCCGGTGACTCACTAGGGTGCCTGCCCAGACCAATGTCTCCCCCTATATTCTATCATCCTCCCGGCTCTGAAATGGTCTCATTGGACCGAAAGGGCCTAACCCCCCCCCCCCCCCCAAAAAAAAAATCATGACGGAATCTCAACAGCTGACAAGTACATTTGAAAGACGTAAGTGACAAAATAGTTTTTTTTTAATCAAACAGTCATCAGCTACATTTCCATAAGCTTCTCACCCGTTTCCCCTCCTGCCCGTGCACTATCCCTCACCATACCTCGGTCCGTCCCGCCGGCGACTCACCGTGTCCCATTTGGCCATTTTGCGCTCCGAGTCCCACTTGGCGTACTCGCGACGGTCGTGGATGGTGGTGAGCAGTTTCCACAGCATCAGCACAGCCATACCGACCACCACGATAGCGGCAATCAGAGTCAGAACGATACCTGAGGAGAATCAGAGGGTCAGCATGGCCATGGCGAATATCACAATAACGGCAATCACAAAATTTAACGAGCTTACTTGATTTATTTATTCCTTCACAAGCTCTTTCAGTCAGTCATGACCTTTGAATACCGAGGTAACCAGCGGCACCTCTGTATGCAAAGGTCAATGAGTCAACCAGTCGCCCAACCAATCCCTCCACCCGCTCCCTCCTCTCCCTTCCCCGTCCCTCTCTCACCGAGGATGTTGATGGCCGGCGGGCACTTTTTGGTCTCCTGCGCTCGGATCACCTGCGTCTCTCCGTCGTAGCCGTACACAAACTGGTAGCGGCAGCCGTGCTCGTCACTGAACGTGCATATCCGCTCGTCGGGGTTCTCCACTGTGAACACGAACGCAGGGACACGGTCAGGCGGGTGAAGGAACAAGTAAAATGGTAGTTCAGAAATTTGTTGAGTTGTGGTAAAGATTGATCAATTACGGTACTTTTTCCACAAAATATTACTCCGTTTAAAGGGGTTCATGAGAATAATGTTCTTCCTAGTTCCTCGAGATTTCATGCAAGAAATCGAGACAAAATAAAATTCGAACAACATAACTGTAATGAACCCCGCACAAACTACGGTGGATTAAATTCTTGAACATTTAGCGGATTTCGCGAGCACATCAGCCAGTTTCCACGCCCGGTACTGACCCTCGACCACGTCTGTCTTGTTGATGATGAGGTGCGAGCACTCTTCCTCACAGCGCCCCTCCTCCTTCAGCTCGCCGCTGTCGTGCACCACGCAGTTGACGCACGGCTTGTACAGCTCGCACTTGCCGCGGCACGTCTATGGGGGCGGGAGAGGGAGATCAGGTCAAGGCGAGACGGATGTAAGATTCGCAATCTAAGAATCACGAATCAGTTGATGGAGCATGCTGACACATGCGAGACTTAAGTCATATATCTAGAGGTCAAAAGCAATAGATTACTGGGCGAACAAAGCGCAACATTTCCATATTTACGGGCCGGCAATGGACTTTTTCGAAGTGCACTACCGAATCTATTGAATAAATCGATATGTTGCTCTTTATCGGAAGTCAATATTTAGCCCTCCCAGCGCATTATGACTAAACCCCGCAATGTCAGCAGGACCGCCAGACTCCAGCCAGGCATGTGACTGACAGTCCGCAAAGCTGTCATGAAAAGGGTGCCGTCTCCGGACGTGTATCGACGGCGGCGACTCACCGGGCAGTCCTCGCAGTATTTGCCCGAGTACCGGGCGCCCTGCTCCTCCTTACAGACACACTGGCCGCAGACACACTCTCCGGCACCCGAACACTGGCGGGTGTCACCTGAAGAGGAGACGAGAGGTTATGAGTCACAACCATTGCAGAGCACACATGTGGGATTCGCCCTCTTTATCGTACAAGCCACCCACACCACTGTAGTATACACCATTAATTGAATTGATATGAAAAATAAACCAGGGTTAGACCTCACGGGGTTCATAGCCTCTGGCGAAGCCATACGTGATGACCCAAACTAATTTAATGATTAATCGGACTAGGAGAGCCCCACTCTCAGCCCGATCTGACCCGCCGGCGCGGTCACCCCCTACTGACCTGGCGCGATACAGGAGGCGTTGCTGGCGGGACACTGGCAGGCATTGCCGGTCCAGCCGTCCAGGCAGCTGCACTCTCCGCACACGCAGCTGCCGTGATCGGGACCCGAGCACAGGAGCTTCTCGTGACGGTCGCACGAGAAGTTGTCACACTCGCAGAAGTCGCCCTTCACCTCCTGAGAAGAGAGAGGAACGAGGTTAGATATGCAGAGTCCCAGGCTCCAAGCATTTGCCGGTCGGATCCATAACAAAGGGGTGCGATTTCTTTTAGAATCTAACCTGTATTAACAAATCTATGCAACAGCATGTAATGCAAAATATAATATAAACATGTCTATTGTCCGCATATAAGTACAGCTATTGACAGATGAATGCACGAATGGCGTGATAGGCCAATCCATGAGAGGTGAAAAAGTCGCATCCCACAATGAATAAACATTTCCCTGCAGACCTCCCCCCCCCCCCCCCCACACACACACATACACTTCTATCGTCTCCTCCATCCCCATCCGACCACCACCCACCTCGTTGGGGTTTTCGCGCGGGTAGCAGTTACACTCGCCGCACACACACTCGCCGCGGCCGTAGCACAGAATGTCGGTCGAGTTGGGCGGCCGGCACTGGTCCTCGCCAATCCGGCCGTTCGGGTCGCTCTGCGAACACTCGCAGAAGGCGCCAAAGTGCAGCGGATCGCACACACACTTGCCGCACTGCAGGTCACCCCCGTAGTTGCACTCAGCAGCGATGGCGGCCGGCTTGAAGCCCTGTCGGTGACGGATGGAAAACACGGGACGGGTTAGAGTAGGTATCAAATGAGAATCTCAGTTCTATAACAGAATACAGTTTGAACTTTTACATACCAGCACCAGCCATTGCTACAGCGTGGTGTAAAGCTATTTCAAAACCCT